TAGTGTTCGGGAGGTAGAAGTTCGCCAAAGTGAATGTCCTACCCCAGAGTGTCAGCTTGAGCAGCAGGTACCTGCCATATTCATCCGCTCGATGGTCCACCACTGCCGCGGGGAGGGATTTATGCAAGGCAATCGTGACCCCCCGTGATTTCTGAACGCTGTTAGAGCTATGATACCATCTGTTAAAGTACCTGTATGAACACTGGGGGACATGTGAGCTCAGGAAATGTGTTTCCTGGAACATTATGACCTGAACCATGGCCTTATGCATGGAATATAAAATCTGGCCCCGTTTGGAGGGGACATTGAGGCCTCTAGCGTTGTACGTGCAGATTTTAAGGTCCACAGCCGTGGATCTAGTGGCAGCCATCGCAGAGGCGGGGGGATGGGGGGGAAACAAGGGGACGGGATGGGTAGGGTAGAGAAAACAAAGGGAGAAACACAGAACAAGACACTAGACAGAAGGGAAGAGTAGAGGCAGCAAGGAGGGCTGAGATAGAAACAGTGAATAGGACAGCAAGGGAAAGGAGGAAACAGAAGAAAAGGAAGAAAGACTAGAAAGGGCAGGGAGGCCTGCCTCTAGTATGTTAATACCTAGCAAATGCTAGAAACAACCTTATGGGGAATTTTCCATGATCTAGTTGCATAAAGGGGCCCAGATTCCAAAGAGCACCTTGAGGCTTTCAAATGGCATAAATTATGCATCTGACTCCCCGACTACCCATCACCCACAGAATGACCCCATTTTTGAAAGCAGACACCCCAAAGGTATTTAATAAGTGGCATGGTGAGATTTGTGAAGATTTCATTTTTTTTGGCCACAAGTTTTTAGAAAATTAGGAGAAAAATAAAAATATATGTTTTACACAAAGTTGACAATTAATGCAATACTTGGAATTACACCCCAAAACACATTCTGCTACTTATCCTGAGTAGGGGATACCACACATATGATACTTTTTTGTAGCCTAGCCACAGAGAATGGGCCTAAATTCTAAGAAGCACCATGAAGCTTCATCTATAACAGACCCCAGTCCCCCAAGCCAAGCAGGCCTTCTGGTACTGTTAACCCTAGGATTTATACACAGTGCTTTGTTCAGTGGCCAAGAAGTACAGGAAGCTGGACAAAAGGTAAACAAAACAGTACCTGTGGTTCCAGAAGTGCAGTTGTCTGCAGAGGATTGCTGGAACTAGTGTTTTGGCTGGAACACTGTCAGCGGGACATGCAGATGGGTCACTACAGGGGGCAGACAAAGATGTGGTCAGCATGCAGGCCAGTTTATACAGTAGGCATAGAAGTGGTCAGTATGCAGGCAAAGGATCAGTGCAGGCAGCAGGCAGAAATATGGTCAATAAACAGTCCGAGGTCAGTTTAAGCGGCAAGCAGAGACGTTGTCAGTATGTAGGTAAAGGTCAGTTCAGGCGGGAGGCAGAAACATGGTTGATAAACAAGCAAGGATTAGTGTTGGGCTCGATGTTTGAGTCAACCAAGAGTTCGACTCGAACATTGCTAGTTCATGTGTTCGGCGAATGCACAAACTATCAGGGCGTTCGGCAGGCTATTCGCCCGCCGAGCGCCCCCCACAGAGCACTGCGCTCTGTGCAGTGCCTTCTGGAACCCTGATTGGCTAAAGCATTGCACCTGGCCACAGGTTTAGGTGCAGGACTTTGCCCAATCACGGCACAGTGCACTGAAGAGCCATGATTGGGCAAAGTAATGATGACTAATGATGCCGTACAACTGCCCCCGCTAGTTCCGCCCAATTGTTCATATTTTGCCAGAAAATGTCAGAATGCCATTCTGCAGCGGGAGTTCGTTGCGAGTGGACAGGTCAGCGGGCATAATTTTAAAAAAAATTGTTTCTATTTATTTTTTCTTGTTTTATTTTTCATTTTGTTGAGTCGTCGTCATCGTGGACAATGCTGGACATCGTGATTGATCCTGGATTACATCGGTGGATCCTTTTTTTTTTGGGGGGGGGGGGGGGGTTAAAATAAAAGACTTGTCAAAAACATGTCTTTTGGGGGTTTTTTTTCAATTAAAGGATTTTTTTCTAAAAGACTGGTGTTTTTATTTCCAATATCTGTTAACCCTTTAGTGAATGGGTAGGGGTACAAGTACCCCTTACTCATTCACAAGGGAGGGGGCATCTGGGTGCCCCTTTATTAAAAGTGTACCCCTACTAGACCTTAAGGGCCTGGTATGACTTTGAGGGGGAACCCTACACACTTTTTTTTACACGGAGTCCCTCCTAAATATTTTTTTTTTAAATGGGGTCCCTCCTAACTTTCCTACCAGACCTTAAGGGTCTGTTATTGTTTGGGAGGGGGAACCACAATATTTAAAGGATTTTTCATTTTTATTGTTTCACTTTAAGCAATGCTAAAATCACTGCTTCTTTAAACTGCATGTCTTAGTACCCAAATCGCCATACCCTTTTTATGGCCAATAACTTGCATATAAGCCTTCAAAAAGGGGACAATTGATTTTCCAGGTTCTGGCCTCATAGATTTGCATTGAGTTCAAATTCAAACTTTTTCCATGTTCTAAAGTTGGAATCCGAACCAAGCTCGGGTCTATTCTGCCCATCACTAGCAAGGATCAGTTCTGGAGGCAAGCAGAGACATGAACAGTAGACAGGCAAAGTTTTAGGGCAGCAGGCAGAAACATGGTTGATAAACAGGAGTCAGTACACAGCAGATCAGGCAAATAGCAGCTAATTAAGCACAAGAGAAACACCATATACCTACACTAATTTGGCAGTGAGGTATGGTAGAGACAGAAGCAGTTTTTAATGCAGAGGCCAGGTTGTGAGGGACAATAGGGACAATAGTAACGTGTGTCATGCCTTATCCCATTTTTGCTATACACGCAGCATTTTTTTGGGTGTCCGCTCTACTTCCGTGGAACAATATCGGAAAAATGTTTCTCATGCAGCCTGCTGATTGCATGCCTTTCTGAGTAAATCAGGGCTGTTATAACTTCCTCTTGATATGTTAAGTAGAAGCTAGCTCTTCCTGCAGACTTATAAATTACATATGAATTGTACATAGCCAACTGAAAAAGATAGATGGAATCTTCTGCTTTTTTAAATCTACACCACCCTTATGCAGATTGTATTCATGGACACAGAGAGGTTTTTGGGACAGACCAGATCATCCCTGGATTTCCACCGAGGAATCTGGGTGGATAGATGAAAGGATATAAAGGTTCCATTTGTCCTTATATTTGAGGGCTAAAAGTTCCTCATTCCTCAAACTTACAGCCCCCCCCCCTCCCCCCCTTTTCAGCTTCTTGTAGACAAGATGTTAGGGAAAGCCTTTGTGATTTGGTTGCATTGTACAACAGGCTGGGGTTTGTTTGAGGAAGAGGTGCTTGAACAGTGGCATGCTGATATCAAAATTGTCCACAAAGAGGTAGTATCCCTGATGGAATAAGGGTGACAATAGGTCCCACACAATTTAGCTGGCTATCTCTCCCTTCATACACATGGAAATCAAATTTGTAGTCTGTGCCTCTCTCACAAAGTTTGTACAGTTTCACACCGTACCTGGCATGTTTACTGGGGAGATACTGTTTTATAATAAGTCTGCCTTTGAAATGTATGAGGGGCTCATCAATACAGATATTTTGCTGGGAGGTATATCATTCAGAAACTTTGGTGGAAAAAAAAATTGATCAGAGGCCTATTTTTTGGAGCTTATCATATGTGGGGTCACTTCTGCGAGGGCACGTTGAATCATCACTGAGATGCAGAAATCTCATAATCATTGTATATCTTGTCCTGGACATGGTAGCAGAATATCGGGGCATGTAGTGAATTGGGTGTGTAGACCAATATGACTAAAGTTCGTTTTTTTGGGTGAGTCCAATATTAAGTGTTAGGCTGAGAAAGGTTTTGAATTCAGAAACACTCAGAGCTTTCCACTCAAATGGTCTGGAATAAGAGGAATTGGGTTTTCTTACAATTAACTGTTGGTAATAAAGGTTTGTTTGGTTGACAATTGATTTGAAAAACTCTTCAGTAAAAAACAAATAAAAAAGTTGGATAAGTGTAAAATTCTCAGTTTCCACCTGAACTCCTGGATGGGGAGTTAATGGTAGGATGACAGGTATTGCTGAAGTAGAGGGTAGCCACAAGGGATTTGAAAGTGCCTCTGGTACATTAATATGGGCTCTCTGGGTCCTAATTCTTTGTGGCTGATGTTGGATCAACCCACTACTAGTGCTTGCCAATGCATCGGGATGCGCAGCACTGCTGGTGCTTGCGTGCTGCATTTCAGCTGGATGTTGGATGTTTAATGGCACAGCATGTCTGGCTCTTTAAGGTGGATGAACATCATCTACTGAATCAAAGGTAGCTAATGAACCACTGCTTCCAATGGGTTCATACTCTGAAACAGAATCTGACATAGCTCTCATCAGTGATACTGAGAATTTTAAATGCCTCCTCACTAGTTTAGATTTTTTGTACATTTTTAGCAGTGGATATACTTTTTTTGTACTTACAGAACTAGATTTTGCTGGCACTGGAACTTGTTGTGGCTGGTGATCAGGACACTGGTTGTGCTGTATCAGTACCTGGTGACACCGTATTGTTACTGCTGACTATCCAAGATGCTGACAATCCGGGGCTAACAGTCTGGAACTGTGGCAATCTCACACTGTTTGGTTTTGACAGGCTGTGTGAGTATCACATGCTGAGTGAGGCTGATAAGCTGGCACTGTGAAAATCACACGTTAATTGAAGCTGATCGGCTGGCACTGTGGTAAAAGCATGCTGATTGTAGCTGGAAGGCTGGCACTGTGGCATTCACATACTGATTGGGGTTGACAGACTGGCACTTTGGCAGACACTGGTACTGTACTGCTGGCAGACACTGAATTGTGCTAATTGCAGAAAATGTGGCACTGGTGACACTGTAACAATCACATGCTGATTGGGTATGACGCTGTGACAATCTCACGCTGACTGGGACTGCCATTGTGGCAGACGCTGGCGCTATGACAATCTCATGCTGATTGGGACTTGCAGGCTTGCACTGTGGCAGAAGCTGGCACTATGACAATCTCATGCTAATTGGGGCTGACACTGTGGCAGACGCTGGCATTGTGATAATCTCATGCTGTTTAGAACTTACAGGCTGGCACTGTCGCAGATGCTGGAACTATGGCAATCTCACACTGACTGGGGCTGGTACTGTGACAATCTCACACTGATTGGGGATGGCATTGTGGCAGAATCTCGCACTGGGACAATCTCACACTGATTGGGGCTTGTGGCAGATGCTGGCACTGTGACAATGTCATGCTGATTGCAGCTGACACTGTGACAATCTCATACTGATTGGGGATGGCATTGTGGCAGAATCTCGCACTGGGACAATCTCACACTGATTGGGGCTTGTGGCAGATGCTGGCACTGTGACAATGTCATGCTGATTGCAGCTGACACTGTGACAATCTCATACTGATTGGGGATGGCATTGTGGCAGAATCTCGCACTGGGACAATCTCACACTGATTGGGGCTTGTGGCAGATGCTGGCACTGTGACAATGTCATGCTGATTGCAGCTGACACTGTGACAATCTCATACTGATTGGAGCTGGCAGTGTGGCAGAATCTGGCACTGTGACAATCTCACGCTGATAGGGATTGACACTGACAATCTCACGGTGGTTGGGGCTGGCACTGTGGTAGACGCTGGCACTCTGACAATCTAATGCTAATTGGGGCTTGCAGGCTGACACTGTACTGCTGAATGGTGCTGACATATGTTGTAAAATGTGCACTGGTGACACTCTAAAATACAACTGAACAGATCACTGTGAAACCCTTTCCCTCTCCTCTCACATCCGAATGGTGTGTTAGAGGAAATGGAAAGAAAGCTGCAAACTGCAGCCTTTGTTTACATTATTTGATCACTGTGATTGGCCACAGTGCTCACATGGTACAGAGCCAATTTCATTGCCTCTGCACCTTGTTTTTGTGCACTGCACTGTCTGCTCGTGCGCATGGTAGGGGCTCGCAGGAGCAGGCACGACAGTTTAAAAACACCTACTCACATCAAAATGCTTGCTGTATGGCCGTTTATTTGCAATTGGCTGGACAGCAAGTGGTTAAGATACCTTTTAGGGCTCATTCACATGGGCATGCACATCAGGTTTCTATTGATTAATTTATTTTAACCTAGGATTTATTTAACTTTCACTAAATATTTACACATTTTTCCAGTTGAATTTTAAGTGAAAATGTGTGAACGTTTGGTGATTCTTGGATGAAGGCATTGCTAAGTAGACCTCTCAAATATTAGTTGACTGTAGTTTGATGGCAGTAATGAAAGTGCATTCCATTGTGTGAAACATGATTGCAAAAAAAACATAAGCTCCAGGAATACTGTAATAGTTATCTAGGTAATCATTTTCTTTATATGAAGAACAAACCTGCCATTTGCCATTTCTCTCTATAGCTGTACTTTTTGAAAGGGGAAGTATCACTGTGTACACGTGGGATATTATCAGCACCATGATACAAACTCAACAGAAGCCTGTACAAAAACCTGGCACTCATAGCAGTGATAGGAGATAGGTAACAGTAATTAATGACTTTGTTATTTACTAATATATCTGTAACATTTGCATGGAAAAGAATATAATATAAGGAAAAAAACTATTTTGTGTTATAATTAATGTCTGTGAATGGCATGATGAAGTATACATTGTGCCCCTCTACATAAAAAGCATCAAACAGATCATGTTCAATATTCACACACCAAGCTAAGTAGGTGAGGATGATGAACTAAAGGAATGCAGACTGTTTCCAAAAGTAAATGTTCACTTAGCTTAGTAATTATGGTGAAGGTGTGGCAATTTCAACTATTCAATCGCATACAAGCATCCTGTTTTTTTTGCACATGATTAGGTATTTGAAGTAAACACAGCTTCACCCTTTTTACCAAACTCAAAATACATCATGGGGTAATTTAACAAAACTGGAGCAGACAATAACTGCAGTGGTTGCCAATAGAAACCAACCAGCTTCCTTTTTTAAGTAAGTTTTGAAAATGAAAGAGAGAAGCTGATTGGTTACCAATTGCTATTCACAGATGCTCTATATTCTGTCTGCTCCCGTTTTAATAAATTCTCCTTATACATTTTCCTAAGTGAATATTTACTGTGCTAAATGAGCAATCTCTAGTTCTTTGGCAAACTAAGTAGTTCAAAAAATTATGCTTATACAAATCATTTCTTGGACATTAGGAAATTTTTTAATGATAACAAAAATTACCTGTACATCAGATGTGACATAAGTCTTCAGAACTAGTATTGACTGGAAAGCATGCAGTGTGTCCAGGTTTGAGTGTTGTCTACTATGGACCAGGAGACACATGTGTCACAGGAGGGCATTTGTTACTGAATTTGGTATTTGTTTGTAGTTCACTCTTAAACTTTTCCCCCACAAGTATAACTGTTTTCCTGCAAGTAACAGTTTAAACTCTATACAGAGATGAAATATAATGTTTAAACCACATCAAAAGTTTGAGGTTTTTGTGTATTACATAATATATAAGAGAGTAAAAGAAAAAAAAAAACGATCGCAGGGAAAGGTTTAATCTGCTTGATAGAGCAGATTAAACCTTTCCGGGAGAAAATGTTTCTCTCCCGGGCGGCCGGGAGCCGCTATCTAATAGCGGGAGACTCCCGGAGCTTCCGGGAGAGTTGAGATGTCTGGGTATATGATAATAATACATAATATATAAGAGAGATATGAGATCCCAGAGCAGAAAAGGAGATGGATTGGACATACAGTGTCCTACAAAAGGGCGAAAAAAATTTCTGTAAACAGGCGCTCAAGTGGAATCCCCAAGGGCAGCACAGGAGAGGCAGACCGAGAGGCTCCTGACGTGAACCTGACCTGACTGCAGATCAAATAGAAAGCTGGGAACCATCAACAGTGGAAGTCTTTCATTTTGGCCCTATGAAAAAAATATAATATAAGCACTTTCATGTCTCTTTCCTTGGCCTTCTAATCTAAAGTATCCAATTCCCTCCTGCTCAAGGTGCATATTTACCTGCTGACTGCTGCCATGTTTACAGTTACGTTGTTTTCCTTGGCCTCATATTCTACAGTACCTTTGTTTTTTTTTCTATTCTGACACAGCTCCGTGTCAGAATAAAGAAAAAAAAGACACAACAGGGTTTCTCTCCTTGGCGGCCAGGAGCAGGAGACTCCTGACTGATTCTGACAGGGCTCCGTGTTAGAATAAAGAAAAAAAAAGATAAATCAGTGTTTCTCTCCTGGGCGGAAGGCTCCCAGAGCGCTCGGGAGATTTTTTTTTTTACGGCAGCTCCGCACAATCGTTTTCGATTTACTTTACTTTACTTTTTTAACTATTTTTCTGTTCTGCTCGGTACCTCTGAGGGACCAAGCAGAACTGCCGTGCCGAATGCCGCTCAGCGGCATTCAGCTATTCACTCACTACTGTTCGGCATCTATAAGAATAGGCCGAACAGCAGTGAGTAGCCTGCCGGAGGTGCGGCTCAGCCGATCCAGATGTTGGATCGGCTGAGTCGAACTCATTCTGCACTTCGGGTCAGCCGAACATGCTGAGCATGTTCGGCCGACCCGAAGCCATGCGAAGCAAGCCGATGCACGACTCTCCATCCCTCAACACTATCTATCAGCATAAGCCTGGGCTGCTGTAATTAACCCTTTGCAGGGAGGAGTGCTCCAGCAATATAGCAACTATGCCTGGGCTACATATATTAATCTGCCCTTAGTAAAAACGGCCACTGTGAGAAGAAACAGGAGGAAAAGAAAAATAAGGTATTCAAGCAATAAAAAGCATTCAATTATCTATAAGTATCTGTTTGTAGATTGTCATTACTAAACATTTCTAAAGGTGTATGTGTTGTCATTTCGAAGATGTGGGTAATGTTCCTGTTTAAGCTTCCCAAGCATCTGTGCCTCCATTTTCTTCTATTATTTTGTAAGGTGACCTTCTCAGATCTTCTACATAATGCATATAATGCTAGTATGTATCCAGGAACCTTCCATCGGCATAGGATTTGGATCATGCATTAATTTCAAGTTTATATTATCACGATAAACTCGAGGACTTGATTATCAGACAAGTGGCTGACTGCAAGAGAAAAGGCTCCATAGAAAAAGATGTACCTACAATGGCTATACTTCTCCTGCAACACAAAACTGACCTTTACAATTACTTTGAATAAGGCCTCAAAGGCTTTCTGATACAGAAATGCAAGTGTCAGTTGCAGGACTATGAAGACTTCTGGGCATATACACATAGGCTTGAATGCAGAACTTTAACCATTTTAACTTTGTGGTTGTCCTCCACCAGCGAAGCTATACAAAATTCATAGGCGTGCAGCATCAGGTGTGAATGCTGCCTGACATGTTCATCATGGTGTGTTGAATTATTAAGGAAGGTTAAGACAGCCTTTACGTCTTACCGGCTACCACATTTGGATGCATTAACCTTCAAAAGGCTTTACACATTTATGTCCTGCAAAAATGTGTAAAGCCTTTTGAAGGTTAATGCATCCAAATGTGGTAGCCGGTAAGACGTAAAGGCTGTCTTAACCTTCCTTAATAATTCAACACACCATGATGAACATGTCAGGCAGCATTCACACCTAATGCTGCATGCCTATGAATTTTTTTATAGCTTCGCTGGTGGAGGACAACCACACAGTTACAATTGAATATATTGCAGTTCTGCATTCAAGCCTATGTGTATATGCCCAGACGTCTTCATAGTGCTGTACTGTTGCATATTATGATCTGTGACAGATGTTTGTTTGAACATTCCTTAAAATATCTTTTAGGCCTCATTCACATGGGCATGCACATCCAGGGCCGGATTTAGCCTCCTTGCCGCTCCAAGGCCAGGTTCCACACCGACAACCCCCCCTGGCAAAGCTCCGCCGCCGGGACACCTCACACCGGCGCCCGCAACTTCCCCACAAGGTCACCGCTGTAGCCCCTCGGCGCTCTGCCGCCCCCGAGGCCGGGCCTCGGTGGCCTTGTGGGAAATCCGGGCCTGTGCACATCCATTCGGTGTGCATGCCCGTGCAGAGACCTGCGCCCATAAGGGGAAGGTGCAGCCTGTAAATGCTTGGAGCCTGTACTTCCATAGGACAGGATGCGGCTACATGCCAATTTGAACCTGCACACCTGTACAAGTCTGGGTGCATGCACTTGGATGCAAACTGTCTGTCAATTACAGGCTGCACCTGTCCCTCCTGGGAGCAAGTCTCTGCACAGACATGAATGCTGTATGGATGTGCATGCCCATGTGAATGAGGCCTTCCTCTCAGTCACAATAATGCTTTCTGTATTCCCTCTCCAGTGCTCTATGCTGGCATAGCTGAGTAACAGCTACACCCCTCATCACAAGTGTGTTTACACAGACTTGAGACAGAGTTGGCGTGTCTGACCAGGTAAGTTACTTGGTGATGATTATTGAGTGCAATGGGTCTAACTCTGCAGTCTATAAGACCCCGTTCACATTGAGCGATTTATCGCGCAGTAATTCCCGCGATATCGCGGCAAATTACTGCGCGATATCGCGCTCCAATGCAATCCAATGGGGCAAAGGGTCCTGCTGTCGCGGGTCGTGTGTCGCTACAGCAGGACCCTTTTTTGAGTGGATTTAGCCACGATTCAAGCTTGCTCAATGCAAGCTTGAACGCGACATCGCGCGGCAAATCTCGCGATGTCGTGCAATATGCAAATCGCGCGACAAACGCGCGATTTGCATATCGCGCAGTGGGAACAGGGCCTTAGACTGCAAGGCATATTTAGACATCCTCCACTACTGCTGTAACAGCAATGTGGAGTTAAGACTATGAAAATTAAGGTTGTAAGTAACATGTCTGTCTGCAGCATATCTATTTCAGTGGCTTCAATGGTTAAGACAGTATTGGCTGTATTTAATTCAGAGAATGTTCTTAACCACTAACCTCTTCCTTTCAAAATAACACAAAGTTTATGTTATGTGATACATAGCTGTGTAGAGACAAGCTAATTTTTGGAAATGGAACAAAGCTTACTGTTCAACCAGGTAAGATCCGCTCATCACATGGTTGTATAGTTTTACAGATTTATCAAAGCAGAAATTACAGCTTGAACGTATGTATAATATAGCAATGTTTATCAAAATATATATACAACCCTTTATTACAGCAATCATTTACCAGTACCCCCTAGTGTGTCAGTTTATCTCAAGTATCTCCTAAAGTGTGTAATGCATTGTCTATAAACTGTAAATAGGTTTCTGTGTTTTTCAGGTAACCTCTCATGTTTTAAAGAAAGCTTTCATTTAAAAAACTTTATAGTATATTGATTTTGATTTGACAAGCCAGGCTACCTTTTAGAATCAGCCTCAACGGATATACATGTAGCACGTGTTGATTAACATAGCATTATATTAATCCTCTATCACAATTTTGTTGACAATCCTAAAATGTATTAGCGTAAACAAGCCACAAGGAAAATTATGAGAGATAAAGATAGATAATAGTGGTTTGAGTACAGTGTTTTTGCTCTGTGTCTAATGCTTTGACATTCGGGGCTGGAACAAAGCTATCCGTTGTTGCTGGTAAGTACATTTTTTCAACTGAACACATGGCAAAAAATGTGTTACTGCAGAATATGTTATATAAAAAATGGTGTACGTAAATTGTATATAGTTATTAATGTTTTTTATCACTTCTACAATTGAGACCTAAATATGCCAAAAAAATGTTGTACATGGCTGACTTATACTGTGCTATGCTACACTGCCTCATGCTATACAGGTTCATATTATTTAAGATTACCATATTTCAAATTCACTATTTTGCTTTGTACATTTGTACTGTATGCCTCTATGCACCTCTTTTTCTTAGCTGTTGTATCCGTTCATTCCATTAGTGTCTTTTGATTTCACAGTGTACATTCCCCATTGCAATACATATTTTATGTATTTTTATATTATCATAAAGCTTCTTCTTAGCAATTATATAATAAATAAGACTTGCAGCTAGAGGTAAATATTATATTTGATGTGATCTTGACATTTAGTCTTCTTCATGTAGGTAAAAGGGATCCTTTGACTCCTTCTGTATTTCTTTTAACATCTGAAAAAGTCTCTTCAACGTCCTGTCTTGCAAAGGATTTCTACCCCGAAGATGTGGAGATGTACTTCAATTCCAGTATGTCAGAGTCCGATACTGTTAAGGTGAATCCGGTCCTGACAAGGAAAGGCCTTTACAATGCTGTTCTTGTAAAGAATACACAGTCAACAGAGTGTGGAGTTAAACACCAAGGAAAATGGGTGATGAGCCAGAAATATTCAGTAGCCGGTAAGAATATCTCTCTTCTCTTTATTTCATTAATTAGAAAACTAATTAGAATCATTAATGTATTACTTTGTGATACACTCTGAGCACTGAATGAAGAGCTTTATATGTCTCATTTAGTATACTGACCAAAACATTCAGCTGTATGGCCACATAGTTATCCAGTGACAATTAATATTTTCCCTTATAGCACTATCAGTTTTTATACAATAACTTTAACAGTTGGTTTATCTATACATGTGTTTAATATGCAGTAACCAGGAAAAAAAAAAACATAATTAACCTGTTACTGATATGACCACAGTAAACTAAGAATAAATTGCTTATTATGGCTAATAAACATTTGTTATTGTGCTTATTTGCACAGCCTTATAAAGTAAAGCTTGATGTGTATGCAAAGTGAATCACTTATAAAAGCATGGTGAACCATGAAGTATTTTTAAAAACTGTTTACCTTTAATACCATGTTCTGCAAGGTGCTTCTCCCTGCAGGCTCCTGTTTTTTGTTTTGAGTTCTGTAAATGGATCTGTGAATAAATGATGCGGCTGTGGAGACGGATCCATGTACAGCTGAATCATTCAATCACAGATATATTCCTGTGAATGAAAAGCCTACAATTTCAGAATAGGGAATTGTGGTTCTCAATGGACTAGAAGTGTGGTGATGTCACTGCACTTGTAGTCCATTGATCACTAACTCCAGCTCCATAACCGCAGGTCCCTAACTCAGTATGGACCGGGGGCTTGAGGAACAGTCTGCAAGAGCCTGCACAATCCACTGATAGTGGGCAAAATACATTGCAGGCTCCAATGCAAACAATTAGTAAATCCATATTTTTTTTATTTTTGGCAATATTGGTAAATGTTATATTCTATTTCTTTGCAAAAAGTGGAATATGTCTCTAAGGAGACATAGTGAGCTATTTATTACTTTTTTAACTGTATCCCAAAAATTGTGCTTTTCTGAACATCAGCTGTTTGTAACAGATAGAATTAAACAACACATTTTTTTTTTTTTAAAGAAGTGGAAAATGAGACACAACACACTGAAATACAGACTGCTGGTGCAGATTATGAGAACTGCTTAGAACCACCTGCTGACGTAACTGGTAAGTGCACTGACTTCCTAGATTTTACATACGACTAGGCATGCCCCCCATTCATCATGCCAGTGCTCAGATGCCATGATCGGTTTGCTCCAGCACTAATAACTGCTTTGCAGGAATTGGAGAAAATATGCGGATATGTCTGAACGGAATGGTTTGATTTGTCTGGGAGCCCAAAATGCAGATTTGGGAGGGGGTTAGCGCTGGCACTTTAGAAGCAGGTACCTTGTCAGTCATATTATTGCTGCTATAACATTGGAACAAATATATTTTAAGACAAAGTACAAACTTGCAGTAGTGGTCTGATCATATTTAGTATATAAATTGAGACTAAGCACTTACCTAGGGTCACAGTTTCCTTAAAATAGCAATTAAAGTGGATTTATTATAGGTTTGATTTATTTTTTCCCTTAGTCTGCCTCAATCACCACTTTCATATGTAATGTTATAGAAACCATATCCTAATAGATAGCAAAGTCTGAAACAAAATGGGTTTTTGAGGTACCAAGGCACAAAAGTAGCACAATAGTGTAGCCACATTTTGCTAAACCCCTTTCCATAGTTTAGGTATTTGCAGCATTGACAGATAAACCATGATAGAATGAGCACTCCTATTTCATTAGAAAGACCAAAAATGCTCTCAGCTACATTAACCCACTTGAAAAATAAGAGACTTTGCATATTGTCAGTCCAGACCCACTAGCGAGCCGTTATTGATTTCTAAATGATCCTGTGTTAGATATTATGACATCATTTAAATAACAAGTAATGGTAAATTATTGAAATCACAAAATAATTCACATTGTTTTCTGTATTATAGATCATCATATTAATATTCTTTCACTGACTGTCCTGGGAATGAGAGTGCTGCTTGTCAAAGCTCTGGTCTTTAACTTCTTACTGAGTGTAAAGATGATTTGTTTATAAGGTAAATGCTTTCAACATTTTAATCCTGCTAGTAATCTTAATAGAATTGTCCACAAAGGAAAAAAATTACCAGTGCGTATGTTCCCTCCACACCAAAAACATTTATTGTACTATTTACACTGGTTTCTCTGAATTGATGACATTTTTTAAAATAGTTTGAAGTTTGCAAACTAAGTAATGAACCCCTTTGAAATCTATAATTCTACCCATTTGCAGGGCTAATAAGCAAGCTATTGTCAAACAAAATACATGGGAAGCCACGTACCCCATGTAGAAACATGTATCAATGCAAAAAATACATAAATAATGCAACATAAAAAAGTATCTCTCCCTGAACAGAATTGTTAGCTATTCCTATGAGCTTCAACCCACACTGACAATATGGCTGCTGTGAGCCCATAACTTTATAGAAAGCAGACTAGGTTATCCATCCTTTTAAATTACTGTCTCTTGTAGCTCAGCTGACTGGGGCAAAGGCCATGTACTGCATTATATGATGTTCCATATTTCTGGTGGCAAACCAGTAAACTAAATGGCCAAAAAGTTAATGATTCGTGAACTTTGCGAGGGCTGGGGCGAACCCTTGGTTAACAATGAACCCATGGTAGTAGTACATCTCTATTACATTATTTTAACAAATTCTGTTTTCAGCCCTACACACCTCTAAAAGGGACAAGTATCAGCTAGGCACATTTGAGTAGTCAAGAGTAAAATTGCATTATAAGGGACCAGACTGCATAGGCATTCCTTTAAAATAATGTTAGAACTGAAGTCACATATTAAAGAAAAACTCCAATAGTATGCACCACACACCATCTTCAGTAAGTATTTTATGGTGTTAAACATTTGTTTCTAATTGCAGATGCTGTACAAGAAAGCCGCTATACGCCAAGACCTTGTCACTGTCTCAAACATATGTCACCTTTTAAATTGGAGTTTTACTATGCCTTATTTTATATACATTATTCCCTGCCTCTGTATGTGCTATTTTGCTGCAGTACTTGCATCCATGATGTTCTTGATATGAAATGTGTGTCTATTTTTTTTAATACAAGCAATAAATATGAGCTCCAACATTTATTGATCATAACTGCAACACGTATTATATAGAGTAGCCATAACTTGCATCCTGCTGTGTATGTATATTATATGTGTTTAAATTGTTATAACATATTTGCTTAAATTGTTATTGAATTGTGCATTGTGAAGTCACATGTATGCCTTATTTATATGAATTTCTTATTAATCCTTGCACATCAGCTGAATTTGGAAATAAATATGCTCATTAGAGAAATATGGTTCTTTACTGTTTTCCCTAAATTCCTATTTTGTTACGGCCTTAAATATAACAAAAAAAGTAAAAAATAAGTTAACCATTTTTACTTTTTTTTATTTTGCACACTCAAAACTTCTAAATTTTTTGTACACGTTTTGTAATGCCTGCTCTGTTGCTCTCAATTTTCGGCCACTGATTCAAAAGGTAGGTTATAATGATTCAAAGTCTTAGGCAGGTCCCACTCATCGGTAGATGGTAAAAAAGTAGCTCATATGACTACAGATGGTAGTGGCAGTGTTGCAGCAAGGCAAAAAAAAATGCATAAATGTGCCATTTAAGAGTGACAACGTGGGGCAACATTTTAACATTCCAAAAATAAATTTCGGCTCCATACTGCTCTTTATAGGCATGCCCACATTGCTAAGAACTAGCCACTGGGCCAGAAACCACCTAGTATATTTTTCTTTAGCTGTGGTCCATTCAGTCCAGTGAGGCAGCTATTACCATGGAGAACATAACTTTATGAACAGCTCTGGAGAAATAACTGGTTCTTGGTATGATCAGACATTACCACTGCCATGGGTATAATGCACATCATCTCTGGGTCACACATGCTAAAAACCCATGTGCAAATGCTTTGAAAATGCAAAGAGACACGTTCTAAGGAGCAAGGGAAGCCTAGTGCTTTCATTTATATCAAAATATGCTTCCTATATGTGTGTCAAAGTTTCCAGAATCTTCAAAGTAGGAATATTGAGGAGGGACCCCATTTAAGGACCTTAAGGGCCATACCAGGCCCTTAAGGTCTTATAATCTTCTAAGGGTCTTCTAAAGGCAGGAATGCACACAGAGCAAAGTAGGAATGAAGCCTAAGAAAAACTTTTGTATTATATCAATTATGAAACAATATCAGAACGTCATGCCTCTTTTTTGGCTTTTCAGGCTATTAAATAATATAGATTCTGGTCAGCAGGATAACAGATATGGGGGTTGATTCACTGAGTGAATAGAGACTATTAACTTAAAGAAGTGAATGCTCACTTTCTATAATGAATGTTTAGTGAACTTTTATTAACAGCACAGTAAATTTATTTTGTGGCTACATGGACTGTGTATACTAAACGTAGGCATAGCTTTTATTCAACCATGTCCATTTAAGCCATGCCCAGTATTCATTGTAATGTAGCCTTGCCCATTTTCACCTCAAGCATTACATGTCTTCTCCACCCAATGTGCCCCAAGGTGTCCCTCTTTCACAAGTTCCAAAGTTGGGATGTATGCATACACTTTGTGGCAAAAGAAAATACAGGCAACATATATATACACATATATTGCATAAAAAGAGATATTACAGAAAACATATATACACATATACTACATAGAAAGACATATTACAGGAAACATATATACATGTATACAGAATGGAAAGAGATAATACAGGAAAAATATATACGCATATACTGCATGGAAAGAGATTTACAGGAAACATAAATGCATGTATACTGTATGGAAAGAGAAAATAGAGGAAACATATATACACAAATTCTGCATGGAAAGAGATAATACAGGAAACATCATGTAACTGTACAGTAATGTTTTCAAGATAGTGGTTTCCATACAGACTAAGAGAACTTAACATGAGGTTTTCCGCTGGTTTATTGCTGCTGAGTTGAGGTTTACCACATGTACAAAAATTAATGTATTTAGTTGATAAAACAATAGAAACGGTTGATTGTTAATAGCTCATACCTTGCCACCAAAGAAGTACAATCTGCTACAATAAACACCAAACAACATTATTGCATTGCAAGATGGAAATTTCCATTTCAATGACCCTGAAGATGTGCTAGAGATCCACTGATAAATCCCATGGATATCCCCATGTGTTTAAAGTGACACTAAACTCAGGAGTAAAATTAAAAAAAAAATGCATTCATGTACCTTATTAACAAAAATGTATCTTGTTTGTGTATCACTCAGCTGTACACCCTCAAATCATCTCTGAATTGGTGCTGACTTGTGAACAGGTCCAGGTTCGGTTCTAATTCAAACTTTGGAACATCCAAAACGCAGTACTTTCAAAAACAATTGTCCCCTTTAAGAGGGCGTATATGCAAGTTATTGGCCATAAAAGGTGTATGGGGATTGGTGTACTGCCCTAGGGAACAGGAATCCATGAAAAAAAACCTTTTTAAAAATACAGTTTTTAAAGGAGCAGTGATTTTAACATCACTTAAAGGGTAACAATAAAAATGAAACATTGCTTTAAATATCATGCCTGGGGGGGGTCCCCTTAACCTGCCTGTAAAGTGGAACATCTGTAGGATGTATAGAACCTGCTGCAGCAAAACTGACATTTCTGAAGAAAAAAAATTAAATTTTTTTTTACAGTGTGCGGTTCCCCCTCCCAAACAATACCAGACCCTTTAAGTTTTAGCAGGAATGTTAGGAGGGACCAATGTTTTTTTTTTAAAGCGTGGGGTTCCCCCCAAAAGTCATACCAGACCCTTAAGGTCTGGTGGGAATATTGAGGAGGGACCCCACGTAAAAAAAAAAAAAGTGTGTGGGGATCCCCCTCAAAGTCCTACCAGGCCCTTAAGGTCTGGTAGGAATTTTAAGGTGGAACCCCACCCCCACAAATGGGGGGGGAGAAGTGGGGTCCCCCTTAAAATTTTATACCAGACCCTTGATCCGAGCATAGGCCTGGCAGGGCCAGAAAAGGGGGGGGGACAAGCGCCCCCCTCCCATACCAGGCCACCTGCCTTCGGCACAGGGAGGGTACTTTTCCAGGGTCTCGCCTGGAAAATCACCTTGTCCCCATTGAGATGCCTCAATCACGATGTCCACCGGTGTACACGACAATGACGACTCAACAAAGTAAATAATAAATAGAATTTTTTATTTTGTTTTAAACAACGAAAGTCGTCCCGTCGCTGTGACGAACACCTGCCGCAGAATGGCATTTTGACAGATGCCGGTAACATATAAACATTTGGGCGGAGCGAAAAGTGACAGCTAGCTCCGCCCAACTGTTTACAGTTGTAACAGGGTGAGCCATGAATGGGCAGAGTCATCATGACTGTGCGGGGTGCTCGGCAGAACACATAAACTGCCGATGTTCGAGTCGAACTCACGCTCGGCTTGAACATCAAGCCCAACCCTAGTGCTGACACTGTCCTCATTCTTGAGGGTGACAACTTTTGTTCCCCATGTTCCCTGTGTGTATTGTAAAGTATTCACCTCTCCAAGATCACTCCTGTGATAGACTACAATCTCAATACAAATTAGCTAACTGAACGTGAGATTGTAGTCCATCACAGGAGTGAGCTTGGAGTGGTGACTACTTTACAACACACACAAGGATCATGGGGAACAAAAGTAGCCCCCTCCAGAAGGAAGGACAGTGTCAGCTTAAATACAGAGAAGATTTGAGGATCTACAGCTGAGTGATACACAAATAAAATACATTTCTGTTAATAGTTAAGGTACTAGAATGCATTTTTAAGGTTTAACTCCCACATAACCTATTCACATATTCCTGGAGGCCAAATGGTATACTACTCATTATAGTTGTTAGGAAAGTAATCATCATCATCATTCATCAGCATCAACATCATCATATAAACAATAATACTTACATAAAAATAATATATCCCTATATTTCTATTTTTTACTTTACAGAAGCTAAGCAAGTGTTCAGTGCAGCTTGATCTAATGACTGAGT